AAGTGAAGATTTTTTTCCTCATGTTCATGTGGAACTTCTTGTGTTCCAGTTTGTGCCTATTGTGTTCAATGTAAAGGGATGCAGTCAGCAGTTCACATGTGGGTTTTTAACAGTTGTAATCAGTAGAGATTTTATTAATACAAGTCAGGACAATAGGATTTGGTACCAAAAAGTCTAGCTGCCCAGCTAAGTGCTCTCACATGGGATTACCAGCAAGCCAAGATGCTATGTGAGACTGACGTATAATGTGATCTACTAAATTCTCCCTATTTTTTTTTTTTCTTTCTTCTTAGAGCAGAAAGGAATTGCATTACCTCACTTCCACTGGAAATCAACTGGGGTTGGGGGGCAGGGGAAAAAGTGTTTTTTCCATGAGCTGTCTCAAATGCTCACCGCATGTATTTTTAAGGTGCATGATCTCGTAGGTAGTTCTGCAGCAAGGTGAGAACTGTTCTTGCTGCCTGTGCTGATAGCTGCATCCCCCACGCTATGTGGTTTGGCACAGGTTTGCTGCCATGTGGGAGCTCTGTTCAAGCCCAAGCTGTGTTGCCTCTGCCTGAGCTTTCCCATGCGTATGCCCATGTCTGATGGAGAGGCAAGAAGTGATAAGAGGGCTGTACCAGCTCTCTGGCATGGCACGTATGTCCAGGTTTGGTGATTGTCTTAGGAGGGCAGGAAGGTCTTCCTCTCTGAGGAAAAGTTTGGGAGTGTCAATTAATTTTCTGCTGCATGGAGCCAAGAGGCAGGATCTGAGGTCTCTTGCAGGTCTTCAAATTGGCATCAAATCATAGTGATGCATCAGGCCAGGCAGCATTTTGAGCTCTGACGTGGGAGTCCACAGCTGGAATTTGTCTTCCCACCTAGGACACATCTCCTTCTTCTGCTTTTCAGCTACTCTGGAAAAAAGCTGTATTTCAGTTATGCTCAGCCCCATGTGCTCCCAGGCAGAACAGGCAAAGTAGTGATGACTACTGAATTAGTCCCACCCAATGAAAGGTTTTATCTCTATACAGCTCTCTTTTGTGTTTTTCCTTTCTACTGTCGCATTGCTCAGTTCTGTGGTAATTGTTGCTCAAGGACATTTGCTCAATTGAGCTGATTCTCATGGTCTTTTCTGGCCTTCAGAGCACACAGGATGGCTGTAGCGGGAAGCAGACTTTTTCTCAGCGTACCATCGCATAGTTGGATGCCCAAGTAACCTGTCTCTGTGGTTTGCAGTCCCATCGATGACTTTACAATGTAGAGATGTGCTCTAGCATCACCTAACTGATGTCTAGTTGAATTTCAGTCACCATTGTGAACATAAGGGAGATTTGTGTCATTAGCTTAGTTCTGTTCAAATAAATGATTCACACTTCCTAATCCTCTAGTTTTCTTGATACTTATTTAGGGTGGTACAACAGAGGCAATAAGGAGAGGAACGGCCCTTGATTCAAGTTATCCATTCTGTTTGACCAGTCAAATTGCTAAAAGATCAAGGGCTTGAGCTTCAGGAGGAAAAACAACACAAACCCAGCCCCAGTAGCATAGCAGCCCTCTGCATTTGGAGATGGGGCTTTCCGTCTTTGTTGAACATGACTCCTGCAGTAACACCTGAGAGTATCAGAGCATCTTTAAGGGTGGGTATGGGTTTGGTGTTGGTTTCGGTGGGCTTGGGCTCCATTCTGCATACAGCTGCCAGAAGTGAGTCATTCCTAAGCCATGGGATAAACAGTTCCTGCCCTAAAACAAGTGATATAATTGCCATTTTCATAGCATTTATGTGAAATTCTGTGACAAACGTTCTAGTTTGGCTCTCACCTACTCAGATCTACAGCCTGTATCTTCCAGGCCTGACAATAGGATGGGCCTTTGTGCACTTGGCTGGAAAGGAGCCCAGGTGTGCACAGTGGATAATCTGGGGATTGGGCAGGAGGCATGGACAAATCCAACTGCAGGCATAACTCAGGAATAAACAGCTGCTTCTGTCTAGCTAAGGCCCTGAAAGGGACGGAGGCAGGCATCATGGCAGCACCAGCTCTGAGAAGCCCCAAGCACCTGCAGGGATTGCTGCCCACCTCAGTGGGGAAATCTTCACTATGAAGCCAGCAGTGTGGGAGCTCTGCTGTTTAAGGGATGTCTTATTTTATAAATGTGCTAGAACACAGACAAACAGCTGCATGAGCCGTTTTTGTGGAAGTGCAAATAATAATATTGCAGAGCTGTTGTATCCTTGGAAATGGTCCAAGTCCAAAGCAGGATTTGGTTGTGTGCTTCTGGCGGTAAGGTTATGTGCTTGTACCAGATGGAGACTTTAAATTTTCATCAGCAGGTCTATAAACACAAAGAATATCCTTTTATCAGCCCCCGGGCCTCGTGCTAATAAGCTGCAAGTGCTGATCTTCAATTCGTGTGGAGTGGGGGCACAAATGAAATAATATACATTCTTCCTGATGATTATCCATCGTGTGAAAATGAAATCAAGACATGAGTAATGATCTGTTTGTTTATTTACTTCTCCATCTCCTTTTAACACCTTTTTGATACTACCAGTGATTAAAAATTGTTAATTATTTGAGGCATATTCTCTCGCGATGAAACTCTGTTGACTACTTGCAGATATTGGGCCAAGCCAACACAAAGATGTGTTAAGTTTGCTACAGAAGGATGAGCAGAGAGGTATAAGCTTTGCAGCAATGCTGCTGAATGTCATCAGAAAATCCCAGCTTTCTTAGTGGATGCAGAAGTGTGGAGGATTGATCAGTAGAATGCTCCCTTTGTCTTGTGCAGTGGGGCACTCCTGTGTGCTGTACGTGTGTCCTAGCTGAGAAGCTCTGTCTGGACCTAGCAGGCATCCAGCTACTGGTATTGTGCCCCATGGTTCATAAATATTTCAGGACATTTGTGTGTTGGAACAGCAGCATCAGCTCTTCAAGGTGTGTTGAGGAGGGACTCTTCCCTGACCAGTCTCTTCTAGGTGGGGGAAATGTGCAACGTATCCATAAAGATCAGTCTCTGGACGTAGTTTGAGATGGTACCAGGAAATTGTCAGGAGAGCTCAGGCAAGATGCAACTTTATGGATTTTAGATTGGTAAATTCTACATCTGTGTTTTCATGTCTTGCTTGAAGAAGACTTCACTGGAAGTGTAATTTACTGAAAATAGGGCCTACTGTGGGAAAACATACTTATGTAGATTTGAATCAGTAAATGAAAGAAAACTTTATTCCTAATAATATAATTCATTATTTTCTGACTAATCAAATCCCAGAGTACGCCCCTGAAACATATAGTCCTCACTTCTTTGATGATTGTATGGACTGTGCTTCATTAGAGGACAGTAGCTAAATATCGCTCCTGCTCATTTATAATTACAGAGAAAGCCAGAACAGAATTGCAAAGATCTTCCTCAATACCATGAAGCCAACAGGATTTCACTTTCCCTGGATCGTGCAGTAGGATTGAGATATGTAGCTGGAGGCAGCTACTGCTATTTTACAAAATATAAGAGCAAGCTGAGCATAAGAAGTAGCAAGAAGACAGCATGGCACAGTAGTTTGCAATTGCAACTGGAGCCTGAGCAAAAGTGAAACTTGATTGAATTATAGGAGATGCATGAGTTTTCAGTCCTAACTTAACGTAGGCAATCAAGGCTGAGAGATTGAGGCAAAATAGACCTGTACTCTTTGATTATCTCTGATTTGCTACTCTGATGGCATATATTCATGTTAAGAGGAGGCCACTAAGCTTGTCTTTGTACTGCACTGGCAATAATATTGCAAGAGAGGTTCTTAAAACAGCAGAATCAGACAAAGCGAAAGGAAAGATCAAATAAAGTAGGGGGAGGGAGAAAGCAGCAACATACAGTATGGTTGCACAGACATCTTAATTTCATTTTAATTAATCTGACCACTCAGAAAGGGAGGAAAGCTCTTTGTATACAAGATGATATGTGAGGTAAGGAGCAGCCTTCTTCCATAGCACTGAGATTTCCTTTGACTAGCGTCTCTTAATGAAATGAAGGGCTGCGCTCTGCTTCGTATTTCACAGAATTAGGGAAGATCAAGCAGTGTGCTGATCCTCTGCATCTTGCTTATGAAACCTGCAGGTGATGGATATGCAACCTCTGTAAAATTTTCCTGTTGGTGACTCAAGTGCTTGGCAAACAGGCTGGTGAGGCAGGCTCGAGGATGAGGTTGTGGTTAGAGAGACTGCCTAGGTAGCAGAGCTGAAATCCATATCCCTTTAGGGAGGCCTGTTACACTAGAAGCTGAATGTGGCTTCTGATCATTCTGGTCATGCCACTGCCAAGTGTCTTTATGCTGCTGGTGTATTAATTATGATTGGTATCCCCCCTGCATTGCACTGGGGCAAAAGAGAACCAGAGCTCTGACTGTTATTTAGAAATGTGGGCCAGCAAAGGAAGAGGAGAAGAGCTAAACAAGAGTGAGTCCTTGGCTTTTACTGGGAGAACTCCTTCAGAATGTGGGAAGAGTGACTAGTGTAGCTGGGCTATGAATGTGAAATTTCAGGGGAACACACAAGGTCTTCCTTTATTGATCTCCTTCCCAAACTCTGTGTGGTCACCATTACAGTGTTGGCTTGGAGGCTGTAGGCTCAAAAATGGAGCAAAGAACTATGAAAAGGAAGGGATTAAAAAGAGAACAGAAGAAAGAAAAAAAAGAAAGACAAAAGTATTCCAGCTGCAAACTTGACTTTCATGTAGGCCAATAGTTGTCTTTAACAGCAGCAGGTCCCAATTTCAACCTCTTTGAGAGGAACGTAGAGGCGCGTACCATCCAGTGACTGCAGAGGGATGAAACCGGGACATTTATGAGATCCCCCAATACAAGATTCATAATTAGCAGTCTATGCAGCAAGCCCTTCTAGCATGCAGCCATGTACTTTGCTAGCTCCAGTACAGAGCCTGTTTGCCAGACTGCGTTGAGGGAGGAGAAAAAAAAGGTTTTGCCACAGGGGTGACCTGGTGACTAATGAGTTTCATTGATCTTGTTCTTGCAGGAGACAGCAATCTACCCTCTACAGTTCCTGCAGACTTTTCTGCTGGAGGCTCTGAGAAAGCAAATGTGAGATGTTATCCAGAAGCCAGGATGTGTGAGCACACTGAACCTAATGATGCTGCTCTCTCAAGTATGCATGAACACAATAGTATGGAAGATGCAAGCATCAGGAAATCTCTCGATAGCTTTTACAAAACATACTGCAAGAAACAGCCAGACAGCATGGATCCCACCTATGAGGCTGCATCACAATGTCTTTTGAAGAAGATTTCAGAGCTAGCAGACCGGGATGGTACCAAATATGCATTGCGTTGCCTGCAGTTGGCCCAGCTGGTCTTGAACAGAGACGGATGTGAGATCTTTCCAAACCACCCCACTACTGCATGTTTTTCCAAGCCTGCTGAGGGAGAAGTCATGGTAGAGGACAGAAAGAGAACACCTGGACTATCAGATGACGTCCTGCAATTCCTCTTCAAACAAACACAGATGGAATGTAGCCCTGATGTGCTGCATGAGAAGTGATCAAAATGCTGGATTGTTTATGTCACCAGTGACTTTCTTGGAAAGATACAGTCGCTCTTAGTACCACCTTTGACAGCCCACATTCAATGGAAGAGGGTTCATAAGGAGCAGATCTTGCCCACCTGGTTTCTGCAGGGTAGCACCAACTAAAAAGCATCTGCAGTCCAAATTCAGCCCCTGCATAGGCATGGAAGTATGTCCATGTGCTGTTGAATATACCAGACGATTGAACAAGCTCAGCATGGTATGCCCCAGACTTAAGGAAGTAAATTAAAATTTTGTTCTGTACCTGACTGATGCTGTACAGCTTTTATCTCCAAGATGGTAGCTGAAAGTTGGTGTGCCTACCAACAGACATATGATCCCACAGGTTATTATTACAGCATGGGTGAGTTTCTTCAGCAGAAAAAACATGCACACGTGAATCAAAGGAACTACAGCTTCTGAACAGGTTATTTTTTTACAGGAGGGGAAAAAAGAGAAAGCAAAGCATTATCACCTTAGTGATGTTTCTAACGCCTCAGATGTACTAGCTAAGCAGAATGGGTTTTCTGCTGATATATGTGAGCTGTTTTAAGAACAACCTGAAATAGCTGCTTGAGCAGGAAGTCTGCAGATGCGTTCATAGAATCATGTTCATAAAGAAACTGTGGAGCTGATGCCTGCTGCCCCGGTGTTTGCCTGCTGTGAAATGCAGAGAACCTAAGGAAAGCAGAGATCACATCTCAGCATGCCTAAGACTGTGGTTTGTTTGGTTGATTGGTTGATTGTAGTATGTCTCTCCCTGCCCAGTAGCCTCTGCTGATTTCTGCTGTCATGAAATATGAGCCTGGAGCTTTTACAGAGAGGAAGCCAATCTTTGATGCTTTAGTACAACCTGTTGTCTTTATTGACACTGCAAAAGACCTTGAGATTACTTTCTTAGTGTGTTCCTGGATGAAGTAAAAAAAAGTTCTGTGTGAGTTTTGAACCATGGGAGTGCTTTCTGTCCAGTTAAGGATCAGCTGGCACTAGCTGTCTGCAGCGAAGACTTACTCCTTCTAACGCAATCTGCTGCTGCTTATACCCAGAACTTTCTTGCTCTGGTTTTAGTTGGCAAAATTACCACTGGCTGCAGTGAAAACTGGCCTAACACTGGTTTCCCAGCTTGGATTGTGATGACTCTGTCACTTACCAGATGACATTAAGAGGTGTCTTGAAGGACTCATTTCCAGCAGTTCTTTTTCATCATTGCCATCTGGGAAATTTACAGAGCTGTGAGTGTGATGCATCCCTATGGATTTGGCAAGTCTAATTCTGCTTTGCTTTGTGCTTATGGAAGCCAGGAGTGAATCCCAAGGAAAACAAATTTATGAAGGAGACTGGACTGCTGAAGTTTGGTGTGAGGATGCTGCTGTCATGTGGGGCTGCAGTTCAGGCCCCTCTGCTCAGCATGTGGGAGTCCTTTGAAGTGGTCATTCAGGAAATCAGAGTTCCTGATTTCTCTCTGGACAGGTAATCATAGAACGGCTTAGCTTAGAGCGGTCCCTAGCAATCATCTAGTTCCAACCCCCCTATTTTAATCTTTAAAGTTATCAGTCATTAAAGCTGCAATTATTATTATAAATATTCTGTTCTTGAATGAAGTCTCAGGCTTTAAAAGACACTCTTAAGAGAGCAAAGATAGTTATGTAGCAGTTCTTACCAATGTTACCAGGCCCACTACTTCTGCAGCTTTTGCATTGCTTCACAGTTTTCTCAAAGGGCTTGCTGGAAAAACTGTGAGTTTTGTTTTCTTTATCATTAAGTTTTATAAAAATTTGGAAAAAAATTGTTTTATGACAGATTTTCATGTTTTAGGTGCTTTAAAGAAGCAGAGCAGAACTCAGCTGAATAAAGCTCCTAAATCCCATTGAATTTTAAATGATAATAAAGCAAACTAAACGTTTAGGGGAGACTGACCATTGTGCCAGACACCTGATTGTGAAGTTAGGAGCCCACCTACATTTGAGTTCAGAATACCTGATCGTTACTTCTGTGAAGTGACTGTTTCCATTTCTGGAGGAACACTTAATTTTAGGAGGTGTTTCACTGGGATTTTATTGTTTAATCACTGTTAGTAAGTTAAACAAAACTGCTGCACAGAGAATAACACCCATCAGTCCCTTTTCCACTCACTGCTAATTAATTTTTTACAAACCTGTGCTGGAACCTGCTGTATGTATTTCCAAGTCTGCTGAAAGCCAAATGTTTTGCATTACTCATTTTCTCGATTAACATCTCAGTTTCTTCAAGACACAGGGTGAGATGAATGCATCCCTCCCCTTTGCCGCGTGCTCCAAATGAGACTCTGGTTGCTTTTGTAAGAAACACTCAAAATCAATCGTTTCCAATCAGGCAAAGATCTTCGTGAAGTGGCAATTTTCATTATTGCAGTAGTGGGTGTGCATCTCCCTCATGGCAAGGGAGAAATTGCATGCTTAATCAGTGAAATCCATACCATATGATACCCTTTCTTTGACATATAAGATCTCTCAGAGTGTCTCAGGCTCACAATCGACTTGGCATGCTTGCTAAAGTACACTTTATATATGGTTTATCACTCACCTGTTGCTTTTCATTTTTCAAAGGGGGACAGGAGGACAATGTGTACTAGGCTCTCTCTATCCTACTATTCACCAGGGCTAGTATTGGTTTCTACCACCTGCTCAGAATGTTCTGTGTATGGGCACTGCTGAGTCACGGCCTGAACCTCTGATTGATCACCTGAGGCGAGCCATGAGTCAGCCAGAGGAGCACAGGTGAAGGCAATTCACCTGTGCTGCTGGAAGGGGTGGAGCCTGGCTGCACCTCTCCTAGACCTATTTAAGAGCTGGCTGCCAGTGGGGAAGGATCTCTTCTGGAGATCTGCTCTGCTGGTGTTTTGTGAGTGAGCCCAGGATAGGGGTAAGCCTTCCATTTATTCTCTTTTGTTATCATAGTCTGCTTTGCCTAACTCTCTTGTTTATTCTAAGGTTATAACATCCTAATATTCTTTGATTATACAGTTCTGAAAAACAAAATTCCTGGTAACTCTCGCTCTAAGCTGTACTAAGCTCTGCCTCAGCAGCTCATTGTGAGCGCTGGAACAGGCTACTCAGGTGGTGGAGTCTCCTTCTCTGGAGATATTCAATACCTGCATGGGTGCTTACCTGTGCAGTCTAGAGAGCCTGCTTTGGCAAGGGAGCTGGACTGAATGATCTCTAGAGGTCCCTTAAATCCCTGCAATTCTGTGATTCTGTTATATTACAAAACAGGCACAGCACTTGTATGGATTTCAGCATTTGGTCTTCAGCATTTCTTTTTGGAGATGGACTGGCCTACCCTGCCGGTCCAGCTGCTGAGGCCTCTTGACCGTTCCCTTTTCACACTGGCCAGATCTCTAGCACAGGTATTTTTTTCATGCATGTCAGATTCTACACTGCAGTTTCATACGGGGCTGCTATTCCTGGGGATTGATGCAGTTGCTGTACTCTGTATTGCCAGCAGGTAATAAAAATTGGGCTGTTGACTTCAATCAGAGCAGGAAGAAACCCAGCTGGCTGCAAACTATGGCCAAGATGCTTGGGTTTGGTGCAATCTCTGTGCAGGTAGGTTTATGCTGGGATTGTCTGGGCTTAGGTTGCCGTCCTTGAGTCATCATGAGACTGATGTATCCAGCTTCCTGATGGTTCTGCTTGATAATTTTCTCTAGCTGATCTTGTGGTGAGGGTGCTGTAATTGCATGTGTGCTGGTAGGTGCACAAAACATTGGAGCAGATCTTCAGCTGCTCTCCCAGCTACACAAGTTTATAGAACTAGGGGGAAAAAATAGAATTTAGAAGAGATCTGGCAGGTGAAGGGAGCCTGTCAGTTCTGTGGTAGTAAATGTCTCCTCCCAGCAGGTGCTGCTCTGTCAGAATCTAGAGAATAGCATCCTGCAGGCAAAGGTTATGGAGGAGGACAATATCAACTGCTATGGTAATAGATATAGCTGGAAAAAATAAATGTTCTCTTGATAATTAGCCTGTCCCTGCCAGCTCGCATTGCTTAACCACGACAGATCTGTTGCAGCTACAAGGACATTCATACTGATGAGTGTAGGCAGCTATTGCTAAAGAGGTTCAGTGGGGAAGGAATTCACTGTGAACCAAATGTCACTTATAATTTTTGCCTGCCTTTATGATGTTCCACTGCATTAAGTGAGATGCTGCACAAAGTAATTTAACTGGAATTTTAAGACAAATAATCTCACAGAAGGAGAGGTAGAGAAATCAAAGTCAAAGCATCTGAACACCTTTGTTTGCTGGATTGGGTTTGGTGATGAATTGGTCTGTGCTGTGAATTAGCTCTAAAAACACCTGGTTTCTTATATTTATACATGCACATATATATATCAGCTATTGCTTTAGCTTCTCTGGGCTGAAGCAACCACTGCCTTCAGCTTCTCAGCTTTCTCATCAGAAACTTCTGATGCAGCAAGAAAAGGGATTGTAGGATGCATTTCTCTTCAGCCTTCCATGAAATGAGATGCAAGTAATGACAAAATAGGTGGTTGCTGAAAGAGCATGAAGATAGATATCAGCAAAGGAGAAGATGAAACTCTGATTTGAAAGAGAGACATAGGTAGAGCTGGATGCAGCAGAAATACTACATGACTGACATCTACAAGTGTTGGCTGGCATCTCACAGAAGACATGGCAAGTAAACTCTGTGCTGCTGAAATATGCAGTCTTTTGAAAAGTTTGCACCTCTCGTGGTCAGGAGCACCTGAGGTTCTTCTTTGCACTGTTCACTTCCAGATACGATGTTCAGCTGATGCCAATATGCCTGCCAAAAATAGATCTGTGTCTCACACTGAGACAGAAGGAAGGGCAAAACAGAGCTCTTTGGAATAAACATCCCTGGAGCAGGTGATAAGTTTGATGCAGGTCTTTTTTAGAGGAGAGGATGTTTTTTCTTATCTGTATCTGATTTCTTGTCTAGAATATGAGGCTTGTTCCGGTGTTCACAGT